TGGAAAACAAATGGTTGACTGGCCTCTGCTCTCTTGATGAACTGCTCTGTGGCAGCTTTCTCATTCTCTTTGTGTCCTCTCCAGGATCTAAGTGCAGATGCCTGCAGGGCTCGGCCATAGGAGAACGTCAGGATCCAGGGTTTGGCTAGAGGGCAGTTGTTGATGGCATTGAGGTGGACAGAGGCTTCTTCCTCACTCTGCCCACCTGAAAGAAAAGCCACTCCTGCAGGTAAAGAAACATATTTAATTTTATTTCTGCACAATTCATACACAACTCTAGAAATCTCTAGACACCACAGCCCTCTGGCTTACCTGTAACTGCTGGGGGAACAGTACGACGCAAGGCTGTGATTGTAGCCATAGCAACTTCCTCTGGGCTGTACTTGGTGGGGCAGCTGTGTCCGGCAGTGACCATGTTGGGTTTGAGTAGAGTGCCTTCCAGGTACACATGGTGGTCCGACATGGCCTTGTACACTGCAGACAGGACCTGAAACACATAGAGCTTTTCACTAGAGAGTCCGAAGAACTATATCGATCTTCTCCTATTTGACTTTTGTTCTTTTATGCAACCCACTTTCTCAGTGATGTACTGGCTGCGTTTCAGGTCATGATCTCCATCAGGCAAAATCTCAGGCTCTATGATGGGCACAATGCCATGCTGGTCAGGAAAATACAGAATCATGAGACGTATAAAGATGTATAGAAGAGCCATTTCATTATACAATATTAAGTGCTGAGTTCTGACCTGTTGGCAAATACTGGAGTAGCGTGCAAGTACATTTGCATTTTCGGCGATTCCCAGTTTAGATGGATTGGCATCACTAATTTTGAGGACACAGCGCCACTTTGCAAAGACGGCTCCATCCTTTTTATATTGAGCACAGCGTTCTGACAAACCATCTAGACCTGTGGAAGAGATAGAAAAAACCCTCCATATATTTCCTTTTAACATGCATTCATGCTTCATAATCTGAGGTCGTTTTAGTCTGACCCTGTGTGGTGGTTTCTCCAGAAGTTCCTGCAAGGGGCACAACACCTTTGTCAACCTAATGAACAGGGAATAGAGAAGTTAAATAATTCATGCTAAATCGTATCCACAACGTAAAATCTGTCCAGAGCATTTATATTAAGATGCAGATGTGATTAGAAAACATAGTACAGGTTGATACAGATTCATACTAAATTGACACACCTTGACGCCAACCATGATGCCCCTGTCCCTGATCATTTTTACAAAGGGAACACCGTTATCAGTGTGTTGGTACAGCGTCTCATGGAAGAATATGACTCCTCCAATGCAACCATTGATGCGGTCGTCTGCACTGAAAAGAATCTGACGGAACTGTCTGCGGTTCTCCTCTGTGTTCTCCACGCCGACCTGTGCAAGCCGCTTAGCCATGCTGCCTGCAGGTAACATATTTCATACTAGGTGTTATTGGGCTTTATTCATTGACTATCAATGATTTAGATTTTTCTATAGTTTAAAGAAATAACAGAATGGTTACAGACCCACAGACTCGTCTGCAGCCAGGATGCCCTTCCCTGGAGAAACTATGCGTAGAGCAGTCTCATGCAGCTCCCTCTTCTGGGCCTCCGAGAGTGTAGGAAAGTGATGCGTCATCCTGAGCGACTGATTCCCTTCACCCTCTGGCAAGGGAAAAAGTGACCTTATGATTGTATTATTCACATTTTAACATTTTTAACGAGACATACATTATATGTTAAATCAATATTCTAAGTGTCTCTCCCTTTCACATTCCTAATAGGTACTTAATAGGTAGTTCGGCCAGTTAAGTGTATTGATGGGTGTAAGTAACAACAGTCAAGTAGAAGCCGAACCTGCTGAATAATAAGCTTTACTGATGCATTTCTTAAACATGGAACCTCGTCAAGTGCCTGAATGAACATACACCACAAAACTAAGCAGATGGAAAGATATAAAAAAAAGACCAGTTTGATTGAATATTTAACAAACACCACCAGGAGTCTAAAGGAAATATATCAAAGTATTTTGAAAATCCAAGTGTTTAGAATAACACACAAAAAAAAACAGACAAATGATTTCGTAAACAGTTGCATGACAGATCTGAAAATACAAAATCACAGATGTGTAAATTCAGCCAAAAACATTATGTATTGCAAAAGTGGGAGTGAAGTTTAGAGTTACTTCAAATGATCTACTAAAATCTACTTTACACACTCGTTTAAGAATGACCAATTTTCCACTTCAAAGTTCTCTTAAACTTAAGCTGCAGGTTCACAGATAATAGCTGGACACTTTGTATTTATCGCACGTTTTGCTAGCTAAAGTCAGTAATGTAACGTTATTAGATTAAAAAATATGAAGGTGAAAGTTCTTACCTGCCTGAATGAGTCTGTCTCACTGATGAGATGTTCACTGGCAGGGACTCTCTGTCAGCTCTGGTTTGTATCCAGCTCCAACTATGTCACACCTCATACGCCCCCACCCCTGGGCGGTGCTTGTCAAACTCCCACCTTTGTCCCAAATAAATAAAACAATTTTTAATGAATCATTGTTCTATTTAAATATAGTTTTTCTGTCCTGAGGATGCTTCTATTTCATACTGATATGGTCACTTTTTAATTAATCACTCATCTTCTATAGTGTTGGTGTAACATGGAAAACCTGTGTCCTCCTTATTATTAGTCTTACCTCCAAACTGTATAATTTTACCCATTCCGGTCCCATTTAATATTCGGGCCAATTGTGCAATATTAATGTATTCTGTCTGCTCCTTCGTATCCCTATAGTAACCTAATTTGAGCGTTTAACAATACCCCAAGTAAAGCTATTTTTGTCATAATTAGTTTAATCGTGCCCTAAGGAAAGTTTCCAGTCTCCTGCTAATTCGGTCCTTAACCTAAATACACAGGGGAGCTTCAGTCTTAGGTGCAACTCATGCAATTGGTGGCTTCCTTTTGTTAGCTTTAAACTGTAAAAACTGTGATGCATCTCTTTAGAAACAGGAATCTCATGAAGCCCAAAAATTAACATTATGAAAAAGGAATGTTCTCCTCTTTTCCCTTTATGTGTCATGTATGTGCTGTTGGCCAATAGCTTACGGATATTTAAATGTATTCTTAGACTGTATACTACATTTTTGGTTAAATTTACAGAAAAGTCAATTAATGCTTTTCTGTAAGCTAAAGAGGAAAATTGTATCTGTTTGATTCACACCTTTCCAGTGTATTGTAAAACACTTCCAATCAGGGCTAAACTTCTGTCTAATGGTGGTGATGTTAGCCTGTGTTAGAATCCTGATGTCAAAAGAGTCAAAGAGTTACCAAATATGTTGTGTTCACTTGACACTTCACTTGGCCTGCTGTCCCTTCATATTGTTCTCGTTATCAATAATGGCACAACTGTATTTCATTTAGTGAGTTATCTAAATTGAAGGTATCTGACAATACTTTTCACTGCTTCTCGATTAATGATCATTGATATGAAAATACTGGAGGGATATTTGGTCATACTTTTGGTTAAAACATAGAAGCTACTTCAAAACAGCTAATGTTAGCAATCAACCAATTACTATCTAACTTTACATTAGCCCAGAAGTAAATTCCTTGCAAACCAGCCTATAAGTGATTTTGTGTCTTTCTTGTGCTGCTGTTATATGGTGATTTGGTGAGGTCAAAAAGCTCCAGCAACACTTGTAGTATGAAGATCAACTTTATTAACAAATGAGACCGACACATTTCGACTTCTGGCCTTCATCAAGGTCATCAAGAAACATGTTGCAAACAACATTTAAATAGGGGAGGTAGGAAATTGAGAAAAAGATAACAAAATTTAAAAAAGCTGAAAATATACTTAACGATACATAATCAAATGCATCCACATGTATTTATATATATCAGACAATAAGGCACCTGCAAAGGTGGGCTGGTTAAGTTTGTTGGCCAGACCAATGAGCCCCAACATGGAGGTGAGGGGCGTGTCCAACAAAGGCAAGGATGACACCACACCTGGTCAATACGTTTGAATCAAGGGAGGCATACAGTGATTTGGTAAAATGTGTTAGGGCAGCTCAGCGTTATTTCCAGGGACTTCTCTCTTCATCATTGTGTGTCAGTGTGCCTCTGACAACAGATATGGGTCACTGGACTGCCTGTCATCACACAGGCACAACTCAGACATGATGGACCTGTCTAAGACAAGGGCCTGAGAGGGATCCAATGTCAGGAGGCAGCGGGAGGAGGAGGAGCTTGTGCACTCCCATTCAGGAGATACAGCTTTAAATAGATGCATGGCTTCAACAAGTATGGCAATTATATGTGACTGTCTCCACAGGGATATTCTTTTTTCCTCCTCTCTATTACCTAATTAAAAACATTTAATGATGATACTTTATATGGGCCTCAATTTTCTTTCCTATTAAGGCTGTCCTAGATGGGTTCACATCTCACCCTATAAATAGGTCGAGACAAGGCTGAAAGTTGGTCATAATGTATTCAAGATGCAACATTTGTATGAAGACAATTTATGTTAGGGAGCAAATAGAGCAGTAGGACCAGTTTTTCTAACCCTGGTGTCTCTGATCCTATAGATGATTCATGCAGGCTTAATGTTTGGAGTATATTGCTCTATATAAATGTGATAGATGATTGTAAGAAACTTTTTTTAAATAAGAAAACAAAAAACAGGGATGTAATATGTGCCTTACTCTTATTTACAATATTTTCTTGTCAAACTATAGTTCTATCTATCTAAGTATTTCTCTGCAGGTAGTGTCATGCAACGCTCTTGTTTTTGATCAAATTCAATATAAATCAAAAAGCAGTTGTGTGAGGAAGGAAGGAAGTATTCTGTCTTACAAAACCAAAGTTTTATTTCTAAATCTAAGTATAAGAAACATACTTGGGATTCTGCTAAAAAAATGTCATATACATACAGTATGTAAGCAAAATTAACCAAGTTGAACTAGAGTAGAAAACAAATATGTTAATTTACAGAATAAGCAATCATTGTACAATATTAAATAAATACTTTGCAGCAGAGTATCTCATTTCCAGTCAGCTCTTATATTCTGACACAAAGTCAGAGAGTAGTCTTATGTTTCACATGTCTGCTCTGTGCCTGGGCTCAGGTCCATGTCGACCAAACTGGGAGATTGTTCAGTGGGAGTTGTGGGAGAGCGAAGGATTCTATCACAGTCAAAGTGATCTAAATAGTCCAATGAAAGGCCTCTTATCGCTTTGGCTGCCCAGTCGGGATGAGTCCTGAGCTCCAGGATGACTTTGACAGGCTTCTTTTGAAGAATAAGAGAGTCGAATGAAGTGCCCCTGAAGAAGGCCTGCATCTTAAAACACTCCAGGTTACGAAGCCGGTTTGCTGGATTCTTGCACAATAACTGCATCAATAATAAAAGACAAAAAAGATATGAAAAGATTTCATTCTGAGCGATGTAAAAGGTGGAAGAAAATCTAATGTACAAACCTCTGAGAGCAGAAAAGTCAGAGCAGAACTGGAGGTCTTGGGTATGGCATAAGGAAAATCATTGACTTTGCTAAACATGCTTCTGTGGTCTGGCTCTGCAGGAACTGGAAACTGCAACATAAAAAAAAAACCCACAATGACCAACTGTGGCTACAGAAAGTCATGTAGAGCTGTTAAATGTTGAGTTCATGTGCCTTCACCTCTCCTGTCACCAGTGAGAACAACAAAATGCCAAGAGACCACCAGTCAGCACCGTGGTTGTATGGACCACCCCTTAAAACTTCAGGAGCTGCTCAGACAAAATGGGAAAGAAATGGCAGGTGAGGCTCTGATGTTTCTCTTCTGTAGCTATACAACAGACAGCAGCTCAAATAGCTGCAAAAACATTTTCTCCAGGATTGTATTTTTTTATATTCCAGAGAAAAAAAAACCTCACCCATGTATTGGATCGTGCCACATATGGTGAACAATCTTCCTCCTCGTTTTAGCCGTCGGGAGAGTCCAAAGTCTGACAGACGAAGGTGACCTGAATGGAATCACACACTAACACTGATGTACTGTGACACACGAAGACTGATTTTTTTTAACAAGTCTTGAATTTCCATTTGTTGTCCATCTTTTAGGAGGACTTTGCCTTTGAATATGTGTTAGTATGGTTCAATGGTGTTTTCACTGAAAATACTCCAGAAAATATCCTGCATTTACCGGGGTGAGCTGCATGCGTGAATGTAAATTGACAAATTTCAACTTTCAAGGTTTTTTTTTGTGGACCCATGCAGGCGTGTGGTGTTAAAATGTAAAATATCTAATCTCATCTAAAGACCACAGAATCTTTAAATGTTTTTACAGGCCTGAAATAGAAGAAAAAAAGATTACCACGATCACTTAAAAGAATGTTCTCCATCTGAAAAATAGAATATTTTTTTATTATTAAAAGCCATAAAACAAAAATGTTAAATTATTATATGAGATCTTAAATATTAAAAGTGAGAAAGTGATACCTTTACGTCCCTGTGTGCTATCCCTAAGTCATGTAGGAATCCTGAGAACAAAAAACAACAACAGCAAAGCAGCAAATGAGAACCTGTAGCATAAAACCCTGTTGAACACACCAGACAACTCCTCATATTGCCAATACTAACTTCAACGTCATGAACTGTCTCTAATGATACGTACCCAGTGCACTGCCCAACTCTGCAGCAAAGAGCTGAACCTCTTCTTCCTCAAACTTCCCCTTCAGTAACCAATGAAGTATGCAAGTCTCCCACGTCGCAATAATCGCACACTACAGAGGACAAGACACATGCAGACTTCTGAAACAGCTACTGAGATAACACAAGGTCACAAAGCCATCAGGAAGACAAAATCATATATATTTGCAAAGCCCATGTTGCTGGGTAAAGGAAGATGGAAGGAAAAGGATTGATGAGTCAAATACACATATGCTTCTAAAAACTGCAGCCACACTGGACTTTACCCAGTACTCTCATTAGATGGCAGTGTACCTCTTCAATATCCACTGCTGAGATTTGTAAGGATGACACAGCTTATATTACTATGAGTCAACAAGGGAAACACTTCTTCAGAAAGATGGAAGAGAGGATCAGACTTTACCAGCATTAAACGTATTAACTATTACTATTGATATTTACTCACTAATGAAGAGATGCTGCTTTGTCTGCCAGCAGTCCTGCAGGTTGTGGATGAATGGATGTTTGAGCTGCCGCTGCAATTCGACGGGCGGCGCGCACACACACACACACACACACACACACACACACACACACACACACGCAGCTTCATATAAGATCTGAAGAGCGTCTTGACTGCCTTAAAAATACCTGAAGACTCACTTTTATTCTCTTGCCTTCTCTAACATTTGAAAAATAAAGGCTAAATTTAAAAAAAAAAAAAAAAAAAAAGTCCTTACTTGATTTGAATCTCATTTTCATTGCTGGGCTCTGAACTCAAGGCGGCTTTTGATGCATAAGCATAAACCACAGACAGAGTCTTTCTCTCTTACACTTGAAGACATGAATAGATGACCTTCCTGTTCTCCTGGAACCAGAATATCTTCTGTGCATGGCAACATTATCTACTGTTATACTGAAGTGACGTTTCATGGCCAAAGACTCAGTCTGCTTGGGATCAGCAGGCCAAGGACTCCGCCTTGAGCTGGCACAAAGCCTGCATTGCAACAGACCCCCTTGCCCTATCCCTTCTAGATGTGGGCCCACAGGGCCAGCTATTCAGTGTTGCTCCACTGGGGCTCATCAGGGCCTCATGGGTCAAGGCTCGACGACAGCTCACTTGCAGGTGAGCTTCTCTCCAAGGTCTTGCTCTAAAGAGTATGCCTGGCAACGTAACACGGCTTCATCTCAGCCTTTTCATCTGGGTTATATTTGCAGATTAAGCGATAATTCAAGTAACCATTGCAGCTAGTATCCATATGACCTGTGAAAAGAAAACTTTTCAAAATGATACCTGAATAATTACTTCTTCTTTGGTCTGCTCCAGAACTCCACGCTTCATAATCTCTGACTTTGGTAGAACCTGTGCAACAATGCAAATTTTAGAAAATAGTAGTGTTCTTATACATTGCTGTTATTCTTTAGTACCATTTTATTACATCTGAATGAACCTTAACAGCGTAGATCTTCTCCTGAAAAAGATCCTTGACTTTCAAGATGGGTCCAAATGATCCTTTAGCTATGAATCCTTGGACCTTGGAGCACAGAAGTAGAGTTACATCATTGGTTACCCATCAATGAACAGTCTTGTGTTTTGTTCCAGACTATACCTGGTAAAGGTCTGGTCCAGGAAACCTACGCTGTGGGAACTCGGGCAGAAAGACAGAGATGAAAGCCAGAGTATTCGTCTTGGTGGGCGACGTCTTCGAGTCTGCCTCAGGAGGCAGCAGGATATTGGAAATGGGTGGTCTGCCATCAAGTCCCACAGCAGGTCGTGAAAACACAGCCGAGTGTCCGAGTCTGTGGTTGATTGAGACCAACTTGTTTGGGAGGAACCCAAGACTGTGACGACGCTGAGCAGCTGGTTCAATTCTCTAGAAAATACACCAAAAATAATAACAATGTTTTGTGATGAGGCCCTTCCAGGGGAGAAAATGGAAGATACCCTCCACAGATAACTTTTAGTGGAGAAAACACAAGAAAGTGCTCTCTAGGATTAACATTAAGAGGCCTCGTGTTGTTGGGTTCTTATGATGGTTCTTGTGATGGTCGGGTTATATATGTCTGGTTGTGTATCGTGCACTTTGGGTTCTTTTCTGTTGAATTGTATTTAATTATTCTTAGTATTTTGCATCTGTTATATTCTTACTGTTGTTTATGTTCTTCTGTGTTTGGTTTAGTTTGCTTTGTTCTTGTTTTTGCTGTTTGTCAAAGCACTTTGTAAACCTGTGTTTTTAAAAGGTGCTATATAAATAAAGTTATTATATTATTATTATTAAGGGTTGTTAAAAACATTCTATACCACATAAAGCTGGGGCCTTTTATCTTTCACCCTCACCTCAGACAGTTTTAGTATGCCACAGTGCTACACCTTTTTTTTTGTGCCCCTGCTTCAAATAAAAATCATTTCAAAGATACTTCAAGGTTGTGTTTTATTTTTTTTTAAATATCGAAGAAAAACCCCAAGATGTTGAAATAGGACATTTGAGGCAGAGTGGAAGAGCACTGAACAGACTCAGACTGTACTTTCCTTTGTGCTGCTGGGCGAAAGGTTATTGATCGACCACAGCTTATCAATAAGTCTATTTTTGACATCACTCAATAAGAGCATCTCAAGGGCTATATTTAGATACAGGGAACTATTTCTGTTAGACATCAAGAGAAAAATAATTTAATTGTATTTAATGTTACTTTGAACTCTTGAAAAACGCGATTAATTTGCTACTGTAGCAGATTTGTTTTTGCCATTAATTCAACCTTTGGCTTTTCCGAAAAGGATTATCTTGATGTGAATAAGTACATGAGTCTGACGTTAACAACTTACCTTGTAGTTTCTGCTGACGTCGTTGCCCATCAAAAATGTTAATTATTTTAAACAAAAATGATCAAAAAAAAAAAAAAAGGTGTCAGTTTTAGCTCAGCCTCCTGGTTCGCCTCAGAAACGCGCAGTTTAGTCCCGCTGATCGAGGTCGTTTCTCATCCACGTGTTTGTGCGCTTTTTTTTCTCTCTCTCTCTCCTGTTTACACCGGAGAGAAATGTTTCAGCGTGTTGGAGTCATCCACAGCGATTCCGCTCCAGTTAAAGCTGTCACATTAAAGAGCAATCACCTCCAACTTCCTGTTACTCACAGCCCAGCCCCCCCCCCTTTTTGTTCTGCACAAGAAAGCCAAACATCCAAAATTGGACTTAGACTTTTTATTGACAGATAAACAACAAGACACGAAGCTGATAGACATGTGAACACGTATTCATTTTGAGATATGATCCGTTTAAACTTAGGGCATTTTCTTCTTAATAGAAATTGTGACTGAAATAAAAGGCTTTAGCAGCACATCAATGCAAGGAATTGACAGCGAACAACTGTGGTTACAAAAATATCAAAATACTTTGCATAAAAAAAGTGCTTTAGTATTAAAATTACAAAACATACACTCTGCGATTAGCTGCATTTTTTTTTTTCTTTCATTTTGCCACAATGCCATCAAACCGAGTGCCACATAATACTACACATCAACATGTTTCTGCTGCTTTGTTCTTGATATATTGCACTGGGGTGAGGTACAGTCAAACATCGCGCTGAGCAACACACAATCATTTTCAGGTCAAATCTAAAATAGCATTTAGTGTGGGGAAAAGGCCTTCATGTCAGATAGACAGTCATACAGCCATATATAATTTATCTGAGCTGAAACTGATAAAAACATATCTTATTTCTCTATCAATGGCCATTCAATGTATTGAAGGTGCTTAAATGAAGTCCTATGTGTGGTACAGTTCTACAGGATAGACATGCAGTGTTCCTGAGCCAGCAGGAAAAGGTGCTGTCTGCTTGTTCATGTGTAGAAGTGCTAGATTCATCTTCCTCGCTTCATTCCATTTAACGCAAGAGTTCATTACTTTGAAAGTAGAAGAGTGAGATTTTTTTAATAGCTCTGGGAAACAAAATCTTTATATATATATATTTCTATTTGGTCAAAATGGCACCCTGGTAATCCTGAAGCTGTTTGAGGGAGTGACACACCTCAGGAGTGTTGTTTTCAAAAACAAAAACTCAAATATTTTCTGAATTCAGCAGGCTCTTATGATACAGTAATATATGCAACCAAAGGAGAATAAACGCTCAACAATCTCTCTTTTTCCTTGAGATTCACAAACCACAAAGATATGCTGACTTTGGGTGGCCGCCTGCTTGTTCCCTGATCCATATACTGAGAGTGTTGGAGCTGCAGCAGCCGATCATCTAGTCAACTTCTTACAATGTGAATGGGAGCTTTTCTTGTTTCACTTGCGTCTGCTGAAGATGCTTTTCTTGCTCGAGCTCTTGTCTGCGGTGCTCAGGCCGATGAGGAGTCGTGCCTTCTCATCTTCCTCCGCTTGCTGCAGGCTGTTGTCCGACTTCCCCTCAGGCGTCTTCCCCCGCAGGTCGGAGCCCGAGGCCGGCTTCAGACGCAGCTTCTCTTTTATCATCTGAGGAACAAAGAGAGCAAGATCAGAAATGGTGGTAGTTTTTGTCAGGTTAAATACATGTCGTTTTTGAGACTTGTAATTCTTGGTGGTAAATGTTGTCCACCTGTGCTACAAGTGCTTTCCGGCTGTCCCTCTTCACAGCCATGGCAAAGTCGAGCCAGGTCCAGGTGTTGTTGTGGTACTCCAAACACGGCAGAACCAGGTTCAGGTCCTTCCAGTCCACACTACTCTTCTCTCCCTAAGAAGGATAGATTTTATTT